ATGAATTGATGAGTCGAGTAGCTCTTTCATTCGGAGTAGGATAAGGATTAGCAACAGCATTGTGTACATCTTGAGGTATGACAGCAAGAGAAAAGAGATGATTATTTAATCTTGAAATAACTGGAGCATTTCCTGCCAACAGATCAACAAGATCAGCTAACATCTCTTTCATTGTAATGTATTCTGGTGACCTTGATCCTTCCATTGGTTTGAATGATGATGGATCTTTCTTCTCCTCCTTATCTTGCAGTACTGTTGCTGTTGGATCATGTGTAGCTGATGATGAATTTTGAGATTGACTTGGTTTAGGTGCTGGTGGTAGAGGTTTTTTAGATAATGATAGTCGGTGTGGTTTAGGTGCTTTTGGAGGAGGTTGTGTAGTTTGTGACAGTCGATGTGGTTTAGGTGCTGTTGGTAAAGGTTGGGCAGTTTGTGAAAATGAATGTGGCTCTTTTGCTGTTGTCAATGGTTGAGATCGTCCACTTTGTGACAATAATCTTGGTTTAGGTGTTACTGGGGGAGGAGACTTTAGTGTCTTTTGTGATGAACCTATTAATAATAATTACTATTAATTTTAATATACACTGACTGTAAATAATATCAGTGCGTGCTGATTACATTAGCTAATTTTAATACATTTTTTGCAATTAATATTTACTTACCTTTTATTTTTCCAGTGGCTACTCTCATTTCATGTAGCAGTGTTGGATGTTCTTCAAATGCTCTTATAAGAAGAGACATTCCTTCATGATCATTAACAGCATTTCTAATCTTTCTTATAGTATCAGCATCAAGCAGTGGTAGAGACTCCTTCAGTTGTCCTTTGATCAATAACTCATGAAACTCTATCAATTCAGATACTTTTGGTCTATCATCTGGTATATCCATTAATGCAATAGGAGAAAGTGGAGGACCTCCTATCAATGGCTTGTTTGTACCTGTAGGAGGATAGAGCATTAAAATAACTGTAGTAATTATCTCAATTGAAGTATTTCATAGCTATCATACTACATACCAATCAATTATGGTTTACTATGAATTTTACACATAATTTAACAAATTAAATATTTTACATTAAAAATAACACTCCTCCACCAATCTCTGAAAATATAATTTGTAATGTACACCTATATATACTTTAGTCCAGTAATGTAACACTTACCAGTAGCAGTACTGTGCACATCATTGGTTCCTTTGATATCATTACCACTGATCATAGCATTACGTTCTATATAGAATACACACACACACACAATCAATACTAATACAATCAGTGATATTAACTTACTCTCTTGGTCTAACTTGTCAGGTACAGCATTCTCATTCATAGATTTAAGAGCATCTGACAGTGAGTCAAAGGTAGCTCCTCCTTTACTGTCAACATTATCAGCTCTGGATAACCACTTGGAGAGACACTCTGTCAAGCATGCAGATATATCACCAGGATGATTCCTTTCAATAGCGTCCAGTGAGTCCATGAGTAGGCCTAGTGTCAGTCCTAGTTCCTTCCATCTCCTCTGATGGAAACCACATCTCTTCAACAGATTAAGTACATCAATAAGTTGATCTAAAATCATATTCAATGATACATAGATAGTTAATGAACACTACCAATAGTCAAAGGAGAAGAGAAGAGACTCAGAGAAGAGGAACAAGAACTGGTTTTAGTTGCCATTGATAAAAGAACAAGTCTCGGAACAATCCAATAACTCTCAAGCTAATCACTAACCGGATTCAAGCTTTTAAAGGCTAGGGATGCATGCAAGGAATGCAAAGAGTGGGGCTCGTTATTTAAAATGACCACATTAAGGTATTTATTATTAATGAATTAATTTTGTTTAATTTATTTATTTTATCAGATTGACAGAATGTGATGGTGGATTATATTTATACTTCGTTGTTCTCATCTCTCTCCTCCTATCCTTTCTTTCATTTTCTCTCTCGTAGGAGCTTGTAGCTTTAAAAGTCTCATGTATTTAATGTAAACAGTAGCGTAATGTATATTTTTAAATATTTTAAAATTGATTGATATTAGAGGGTTTTTGAGCAAGCATGTCAGGTTATTTTATTTTTAAATATTTCAGAGAAGTACGCAAAGCTACCTTTTTCCAAAAAATGGCTGCAAAATCTTTTTAAAATTTTTATTACATTTTCTGATACATATTAATGTCCTTATGCAGTGTAGAACTTTTTGGCTGATTCTGAATAAAATTTTTATGAGTTATCACAATTTTTTGAAGCCATTAAATTAATGAAAAATACCCTAGGCTGTTACAGCCCATGCTTTTATTCAAAAAGTGGCTCCAAAATTGACCCCATTTTTCACTATATTTTTTATACACATTAACGTCCTTATGCTGTGTAGAAAATTTGAGCTGATGCCAACTAAAATTCTTAAAGTACGGCAATTTTTTTTAAATTCCAAAATTTTGAAAATGTTCTGTACTAAAGGCCATGCTTTTATTCAAGAAAGGACTCCAAATTCAACCCCAATCTTTATTACATTTTGTGATACAATTTGATGTCCTTATGCAAAGTTTGAACTGATTCCAATTTAAATTTTTAAAGTTATGACTAGTTCTAAAGCGAAGGGGCTGGGCGACAAGACAAAGTCATGACCATTTTTAAATGGCTAATTTTTTAAAATACCCTCTTGTGTTTTTAATTGGCTCTGAAATCACCCCAATAATTATTTTAATATATTTTCTAAAGCATATTGATGTCCTTATGTTGTTTGGGGCTCGGTTTTTTTAAGTTAAAAAAACAAGTCAACTTTTGACAAGAACCAAAGACTATAACCTATGGTTTTTCCAAAAAATGTCTGAAAGTAAATCCCAGTTGAGTTGTGATATGACAGAAGTTAATAATCCAAAACGAAACAATAAATAAAGCACCATATCCCTTTGTCTTATACAACTTATTGTACTGTATCATCTGGTATATCCTTTAATGCAATAGGAGAGAGTGGAGGACCTCCTATCAATGGCTTGTTTGTACCTGTAGTAGGATAGAGAATTAAAATAACTGTAGTAATTATCTCAATTGAAGTATTTCATAGTTATTATACTACATGCCAATTAATTATGGCTTACAATGAATTTTACACATAATTTAACAAATTACATATTTTACTTAACAAATTGTACTCCTCCACCAATCACTAAAAATACTATTTTTTGTGCATCTAGATACTGTATAGCAGGAAATTTTGGAGGGATTTAAATTTGGCAAATTGCTAAGTTTTGGTGGATTTTCATTTGGCAAATTTGTAGCCATGTGCCATTGAGCATGTACATCATGGCTCAAAATGGCGGATTTTTATTTTGGCAAATGGCTTTAAAAACGCCAAATTTGCCAAATTTAACTACAATGTGCCTCCAAAATTTCCCACTAATTGGTACCTTAGCCGGGTGAGTAGTGTAACACTCACCAGTAGCAGTACTGTGTACATCATTGGTTCCTTTGATATCATTACCACTGATCATAGCATTACATTCTATAGAATACACACACACAGTCAATACTAAAGCCGGATTTACAATATGACGCTAGTCCTGACGTTACGTTGACGCAGAAGTTGAATCTGGTTCAACTCCAGCGTGAAGCATGCGTGAAAGGGTCAAATCGCCTACGCTTTTGATTAAAAATTGACGTTACGTTGGCCTAGCGTCATATTGTAAATCCGGCTTAATACAATCAGTGATATTAACTTATTCTCTTGATCTAACTTGTCCGCTGCAGCATTCTCATTCATAGATTTAAGAGCATCTGATAGTGAGTCAAAGGTAGCTCCTCCTTTACTGTCAACATTATCAGCTCTGGACAACCACTTGGAGAGACACTCTGTCAAGCATGCAGATATATCACCAGGATAATTCCATTCAGTAGCGTCCAGTGAGTCCATGAGTAGTCCTAGTGTCAGTCCTAGTTCCTTCCATCTCCTCTGATGGAAACCACATCTCTTCAACGTAGATTAAGTACATCAATAAGTTGCTCTAAAATCATAGTCAATGATACATAGATAGTTAATGAACATTACCAATAGTCAAAGGAGAAGAGAAGAGACTCAGAGAAGAGGAACAAAAACTGGTTTTAGTTGCCATTGATCAATAAACAAGTCTCGGAACAAGCTAACCCTTGAGCTAACCGGATGCAAACTTTGCAAAATAACGCAAAGGGTGGGGCTCGTTCTATCAGAAATCAGAAACTCTGATCATTTCAAGGTAAATATTATTAATTCATTGGACTCGTTGGACTCGCCGCGTAGGCGGGTATTAAGTAGTTTGGTTGTCTGTCTGTCATTCATTCTGTCCATTTTTAATGTCTTTTTAAAAATATATAACTTTGAAACCACGCACTCTGGGCTTATAGATCTTTCTCTACAACTGGAAAAAGTCTTTCTTTATCATCTAATAATGTCTAAAGAGCAGCGCCAGGGATAAGAAGCTTACAAAGTAAGGAAAACTGAATAAAAAATACAGCAAATATGCTGACACTTTTGACATTGATAAAACCATTTTCCAGTAGATTTTTGTCTTCTGTTTCAATAATATGTGTAGAATTTCTTAACTCTTACTTGGTAGCGACTTATGAGCCTTCAAACTTTAGCTCGGCCAGCTTTGAGAAGGGCTGGAGCACAAATATGGTAAGCTAGAGGTACTAAACTCTGTCAACTCGCTCACATCTACCTAGGCAACAGTATTGTGCCATCTTTTCTATCATAAGTTACTCGTGAGAAGAAACAAAATTTTAGCTTTTCAACGGTCACATGTCAGTCAGTGCTAAGTCCATCTTCATTATAACATAGATAATAGAGTTTCATTTACTCTATTATCTATGATTATAAATGGCAAAGAAACCACGCCTCTCTTAATAATGGGCAATTTTACATGCTTGGATTAAGAATCTTTAGCTGCTTGTTTGCTGTCTTATGCATATTGCCTTAA